TAATGTAGGCTTGCTCGGTGACATGGCTTGATGCGCAAACCTTTGTCGATCTCTCGTTTATGCTTTTCTAAAGATTTGCACAACCCTCGAGTTTGATTGATGCATGAGTTCGATTGATGCCTGAGTATTGGGAAAATGCGCTTGCGAAACTAAGTTACCGGGCGGACCAATCCGCCGATTGTTGACACTGTCTCTGCCGGACCATACGGATGCATGTCAGTTTCCGGTTCCCTTTTGGACAGAAAGGAGAATCTAACGAACAGTTGGTGGTCCCGGCTGATGTATGCTCTCGTGGATAAGTGGATGGCTGATTCAAACGTATGATTGTCCTCTGATTGCCTTCCTAATATCTGTTTCTTGACACGAGCACGAGCGAGCATGACGATGGATCAGACGATCTCCCGACCAAAGGGATAGCCAGTCGATCCGATCCAACTGATCGCAAACGTGGTCTCGTGCGCATATATGCACGCTCGACCAAAACGGACATTGCCTACACGCGTGTCTACAAGACCCGCGCTCGAGTCCATGTCTAAACTCGCAAAATTCCGATAGCATGGATGATGAGACTCCCTTTCACGTCACAGATCGGAAAAGCCTGAGACACCGACGGTTCCGAGAATACTGGGAGTGGAAAAACGCCTGTCTTCTTGCACAACCCCGCCCCAACCCTCCAAAATTCCCCTTTCGGACGGGAAACGAACGTCTCTATGAGTGGGACATTGAACGGGACTTAAGCGTGATCACTTTTCCCTCCCAATTCCCCAGCTCACACGCAAGCCACGTCATTGCCGAACCCGGTGTTGTCATCATTGAGACAAAATTCACTCCCTACCTCCTCGTGTTGCCTTTTCACCGTCTGACGGCGGCCCCGTGGCACGCGCTCGCCCCCTATTGGCCTCGAAGCCCGTGTTCCGAGTGCCAGCAGGACAGCGAGTACCGAGGCATGGGGTTCGTTCGAAAAACCCGGACTGAGGCCGAGCAGCGAGCGCACAGCCTACGCCTGAGGCCTGCTTCGTCCGACTCGGAGGCTTGTCACGAGCGACACTGGCGATTATTTAGGCAACGCGACACACATAGCGTTCCGCCGGTTCACCAAATCCGAGTTCAGCCTCGGTGACGAAACTCGCGGGGATGGCGATGCCATCCCCCAAGGCATAAAAGTTGGACGCGGTTCGCGCTTGCTATCCTGCATATTTGTCCCTAAGGCATGCCACAGGAGATTTCAGTTCGGACCTGGAACTCCACCCCCACTATCCTAAAATCCTTGGCACACCCTTTTTTTTCGCACTTTCGGACCCCCATCCCACTTCGATCAGGAAGTCGCGCTGGGCGTGAGGTTGGTATCGGAGCCGACACGTGGCAAGCTCGCGGAGGGACATGCGGATAGGCCCCCTAGTTAAGCGACCTGGTGAACCGAGGGCGACCTAGGCAAAGGAACGTGCCTAGACGCGACCCGCTATTGACACGGAGTAGGTCGGCGGGTCGGCGGGCCGCCAACATGAACGCTAATGCAGCGCAAAATGCTAATGTACAGCTAGGTGGGGTACCTATTCCCGTGCCACCAGTCCGAGCTCGCGCACCAGTGGCTCTACCTGATTTGTATCTTTTTGACCGCGCACATCACCTAGCCGGGGCATGGCTGGCCACATTGCGTGCGCAACAATATGACAATGATGAGGCTCGAATCAACATCCCCGCCAGGCTAGGAGGAGATGTGCACCACTGGTTCAGCACTTACGTCTGGGTGGATCTCCCGACCTTCGAGCGGGACTTCTTACCGATTCGACTATATCATTCCAGAGCACGCTATTTTTATGATCAAAGATCGGGTTCAGAAACCACTCGAATCCGTTACTGAATATCGTAATACGGTAATAGGTTTTATAGGATGTTCGTCAAAACATAGAGAGGGGAAGAGGTCGGGAGAGATCTATTCATCGACGGGCCTCGTAGCTGGACAACGAGGGCGAAACTGTGAGAGCAGTTCTCCCCTATCAATCATACCCTGCAACAAATCATGACCGTGGTGGAAGAGATGGAACGAAAATTTGCCGCCAATTTCCTAGAAGGAGGGGATTCCTCAGAACTGGCCAAAGCAAAGGCCAAGCTAGCTGCACTTCAAAACAAATTCGAAAACATGGGCTTCATTTCTGGCCTTGTCACCTATCTAGAACAAATCGCAACCAAGAGGCCAGATACAGCTACGGGATTCACTGTGCCGGTTATGGCTGCCTCCGCTCCTTCCCCCGGATTCCTCAACAAGGCCGAGCAAATCGAGTGCCATACTGGAACTAACCCGAACATTAGTGAACTTGATGCAGGAAAGTAAGAAGGAACAACGTGAGCACAATGCCCAGATAAAATCGTTAATGAGGTCGATGCGCCCCATTGCCATCAGAGCCGCACTAGAGGCGCCAAGAATCACCCCCACTCAGGCCATGGGCGGGGCAGCAACAAATATGAGGGTTTGTTACACGCGCGTTCAATGAACGCGGGTTCCACATTCAATGAACGCAGGTTCCACGCTCAGTTTTTGAACGCGTTGAACGCGCGTTCACTGAACTCCTGTGAACGCTTTTGACGCGTTTGCAGCTGGGCTGAAACACGTTGGGTGAGGGGTGTTTCAGCAAGGGGAGGTTGTAGGAGGTGTGGAAGGGGTGCGGGCACCCCCTGATCACTCAATACGAACTAAAAACAAAAGAAAATGAAAAAAAAAAAAAATTAACGTCTGTGTGTGTGTGTGTGTGTGTGTGTGTGTGTGTGT